TTCCTGGAGACCACATGTTACAATCTCCCCTTTTAATTTTTATTACACCATATGTATGGTGGCACAGATCTCTGGGTGTAGTCTTAGGAGACACTTTTTTCAGGGTTACAATGTGTGTAAGAGAAGCAACAATCAGTCAGCAGCATTGTCCATGAAGGTCCAGTATGGAAAATAGTCCATTATCCAAGCCAAAAATGAAAAAAAAAAACAAACAAATATGTGGAGGCATTAGCCAAAACAAGACAGTAAATATATCAAAATCACAGGGGAAAAAATCTTAAAATTGGTTCAACTAATCTAAAAACAAGTTCTCTCAATCTTGATCCCAAATTGTTTCAACAGCATAGCAAAAGTTTGCAAACTAAATCTACTTTTAAACCATATTACCTATTTTTGCATACAATGATAGGGCAGAATAACTAAACAGCATTTTAGCTGGCTTTGCTGGAATACTCCATATAGAATCAGAATGAACTCTTGACATCCGGTCCACATAGGCTTCAAGAACAAAGTTGGTCTCATCAGTCTCCACCTGGGCTTCCTCTTCCCGAGGGTACCAGGACTTTTTTGTTTCCTGAGTTGTCCAGTCCTGCCAGTGGAGGCAGCTTCCTCACCTTCTTTGGAACAAAGCAACAGGTTTTTCTCTTCTCGGTTCAGCTCTGTTTCAACTTCCTGTAAGAACTCCACTCAAAGCCACACAATGACACTCATGTCCAATTTTTTTAGTTTAAGCAGACAAAATCCCTATAGAAGTCATGCAAAAACAGACTCTGAGATAAGTAGTAAAAAAAATTACTACCACTATTTTTATGCTGTGTTGGTATCAAGGGGAGAGAAAATGTGAACACACGTTAGCTCTGCTGAAAAAAGAAAAAAAAATTCAACATTGCTGCTGGTCGTGGGCAGTCAAAACAAGAAAATTTTGTGGAATCAGAACAAAATGCAAAAAAAAAATTACCAGTATTATGTCAAAGAAAACTTAGTAAAAATCAGGTGTATTTCCAGGTCTATTCAGTCTTTTGTAGGCAATTTTTACTCTCAACAGTTCCATCAGTAGGAATCTGTTCAGGCCTTTTCCCCCTATTTTCACCAGAAACAATTTCTGTAGATATCAAACAATTGAAGTATACAATATTACAAGGCTGACAATTTACATACATATCAGGTCAAGGTGTTACCTGTTTTCCCAAGCCACGATGCTTCCCATCTGGTTTTCCTCTACTGGGTAAGCCAAATAGGACAAACTCATCTAATGCCTTTCCCAGGAGGAAAGGGAGAAATCTTGTGGTGTGTCTCAGGAGCTCTACTGAGGAGGCACATGGAGCCAAGAGACAGGTGAAGAAACTGCGCTTGCTTTTGGTCATGGACTGGGTGACACAGATGTGGGGGAGACCCGTGGGGAGGTGACAGTGGCGGTTTTTGTCTTGATTTTGATTTTGCTCTTTTCCTTCCAGACTCGTCTGGTTGTTTCTGATCCTTTTCTGTGGGTCCGACTGGAAGGTGCTTTAGACTTGGGGCAGGCTTTGGGGCCTTGCTCTGGGCCAGTCCTGCCTGGGTGGACTTTTACCCACGAGGGCACGGGGAACTGTGGGTGTTTGATTTAGAAACTAGATTCTTTGCCTTTCCTGTGTTGTTTCCTAATTGTATTAAAGCTCCTTTTCATTAAAGTCTCACATGTTTTGTGTTGATGCGTGGGATGACAGAACTAATTAGAGCAGGCAGGTTTTTGTGGTCTGGGGTGCCCCTCTCCCTGCCCTGTAAAAGAACAAAGTGCAGGCCATGGGCCAGAGGTCTGTGAGCCCCAAGCAGCCTGCTTGGCCACCATCTTGTGAGCTGCAGCTCTGCCTTCCTGCCCCAGGTGGCCCCGGACCCGGCACCACGGGGAACGGTGCACAGGGCGGGGGCGCCGCGGACAGACTTCGCCCCGCTTGGAGCTGGTCTCCCGGGCAAAGGGCGGCCTGCGCGCAGGGGCCGCCTGGCAGCGGCGGTGATGAGACCTGGAGCGGTGGGCACGGCAGTGGGTACCCCTAGGGCTGGGCGGGTCCCCCCAAGAGCTGAGCGTCTCAGACCTCAGTGCTCACACCTGGGGGTGGCGGTGGCTGGGCTGAGCCGGCGACCCGGAGAGGCGGGAGCCGACGCCCCTGCGGGGACCGCGGGGGCCGCCCAGACGGAGCGGGGGTGCCCCCGGGGAGCGGGGCTGCGGGGGCTTCGGGAGCGACCAGGGCTGGGCCTGCGCACGGCGCCTCGTTCCGCCCTCGGGGCGCCCCGTCTGGAAGGAGCGGGTCTCCGGGCGTCTGCGGTGATGCTGCGCTCGGGGGCGCCGCTCAGCCGCGCGGGTCACAGCCGCGGGGTGCCGTGGCCAGAGAAACCAGGGGGGACGGTCCGGAGACAGCAAACGGCGCGTGGGAGGAGGGGTGAGGGAAGATGGCTTCCTTTTGGGGTTTGCGCCGATCGCCGTTGTGGCAACCTGCTGCTGGGAAACTGGGGGCCCCTGGGAGTGTGGGCTCTGCCTGAGGGGGAGCACGGGGGAGGGGTGGGCGCGCTGACGCGGCTCGCATGAGGCTGGGCGGGGGCTGAGAAAATAAAGGCTGCGGCAGGGAGCAAGGAGAAGAGGAGCGACCGGAGCATCGCCGCTGGAATGAGGTACCGGGAATGGGGAATGGGGTAGGGGGTCGAGGGTCCAGGGGGTCGAGTGCCCAGGGGGCTCTGGCGCCCCCTAGCGGCGGTTCTGAAGGCGTCGCCTTTGCGCATGCGCAGCCGGGGCGGGGTCTGGCTCACCTGGGGCGGCGCCTGGGGCGTCTCAGCGCTGCTGGGGCAGGTGCGGGCTGTTCCCCTTCAGGGACGCTGGTTGCGCGGGGCTTTCGCGGGCGGTAGGGAGTCTCGGGGGGCCGTCTGCCTGTGGCTAGAGGGGGGTGTCCTCGCTGACAGTGACCTGTGCCCTCCGCCTAGGGCGTCTTCGGGGCACAGGCTGCTTCTGGGGGTGTGAGTGTGAGCGGAGGGTGCAGGTGTCCCTCTGCCCCCCGGCGAGTGTGGCCAGGGCCAGGGGGTGCTAGGAGGGTTCGGGGACACCTGGGGATGCAGCAGCTGGAGATCGGGGTGGGGGGCCAGGTGGGGTGCGTGCGCCCCCGCTCTGCTTGGAGCCCCTCTGGAGTCTCAGGGTCGCGGGCCAGGAGCCGCCCGCTGGGCGCAGCAGACCTCCCTGTCTCCCCGCTGCCCCCCTCAGCCGTGGATTTCAGTCCATCCACCTGTTCTGTTCCCCACTCTGTCTCTGATGACTTCTCTCACCCCCCCCCGCACCTCTGCCCTAGACCCCAGTTCTTGTTTGCATAAAAATAAATACATCTTTTAAAAATAGATAATTTTAAGAATTAGCTTTCTTCCTCATAGTTTCCAATATTTTGAACTGTGAACTATGACACCCGCGTTTACAGTAAGGGCAGAGACTATACACGTCGAAATTTAGAATTACAAAATGAACTCCCATTAACTGCGTGAAGAATCCTAAGACCACACTGTGGTCTAAGAATCCTAAGACCACTCCCCAAGGAAGCAGGAATATATGGCTGTCGTCATCATGATTTCCCTCCCCTTCCTGACAGGTCATCACCTAAGTGTGGATCACGCAATGCAGACATAACACGTGATTTCAATTTTGTCTGGTGTTTAAAATTTAAATGAATCCTGTTATGTTCACCTGGTATCTGGAACAGGGAATGCTATCCTACAATCTTCTCTCCTTCCTCCTTCATTTAACATTGCAATACAAGTATTTTCCAAGTCGTGCAAAACTATTCAGAATGACGGTGCCTCATGCTCCCTTTGTCTCATGCACACGGTGCTACACATTTCACGGGTTCCTGGAGTTTGACTTCGATTGTTTCCAGTGTTTGTCAGTAGGAGAAAATGCTGGTTAGCACGTTTACAAATAAAGGTGTGTGTGTGTGTGTGTGTGTGTGTGTGTGTGTGTGAAAGCGTCTCCTTAGGTCATGTCTCAAAACCTGAATTACTATTTCTTTTGCTAGAGACACACGCACATACAACATCCCCAACGCCGGCCGCTAAACCCAGAGTCCCCGCGGAAGGGCGACACCACCTTGTTCTCTTCCCCGAATGCGCGAGAACCCCCATTTCAGGGGTTCTCGTCATTCGGCCTCCACGTCATTCTGTGTCCCCATCTTCGGGGCTCTGACGTCACACACTCCCGCTTCCTGCTCTCCCTCTGCTCGGCGCCCCCCCTGCGACTCTCCGGGCTGCGTCCTCCCCTAGCCCAGCTGACCCGCCCCTCGGCGGCGGCTCGGTCCCCTGGGCGCCTCTGCCCGCCAGTGTCCCGCCTCGGCCGCACCGCCCCTCCGCGCCACCAGACGGCGCGCGCCGCTGCTGCGTCCCTAGTTTGCCCCCCGCGAGTCTCTCCTTCCTCGGCCTTGCCCCGCTTCCTTCGTGTTGACGTCACAGCACTGCGCGCTGACGCGAGAGCAGCGGCGGGAGCGGAAGGGGCGGAACCGAGAACACCCGTCCCGGCCGAGCGGGCCCGCGGCCCGAGGAAGGAGAAGCCCCTGGGAACAAAGCGCATGAGGGGAGAGCGCGCGCCGCCTGGTGGCGAGGCGGGGAAATGCGGCCTCGCCGGGACTCTTGAGGAGGCGCGGGGCGCGCGGGGCCGGGGCGGGCAGGGCCGGGGCGGGCGCGGCCTCTCTCACTGGGTGCGGGGGCAGCGGGTCGGTGTCCCCAGCGTGTGTTTGATGCACAGGGACACGAGCTGCTGTTTTCATGGCTGCGGAACGTTTAGGTGAACAGTATTTTCAGGGATGTGGGCTCTTCGCCTCCGTTTCCGTTGGACTTTCTCAACTTCAGCCACAGCAGGACGGGCGGGCGGGGCCGTCCCGCTTGCCCCCGGCCCTGGAGCCCCCCAACACCCGCACCTGCAGCCCCGCCCCCTCCCTGCAGCCCCTCACCTGTTCCTGCAGCCCCGCCCCTGCTCCTGCAGCCCCGCCCCGCCCCAACACTGGCTCCTGCCTCCCCAGTGGCCGGGCTCGCCTCGGCACTTGCTTCTCCGGACTTGGGGTGAAGTCCTTGCCTGCGGGAACCCGGTTTCTTCAGGAGCCACCCCAGAGCGAGGGAACGGTGAGGACATCTCCCTGCCCGGGACTGGCTGCAGAGCGGTGAGTCGGGGGACTCTCAGGGCCGGGCGGGCGGGCTGTGGGGAGCTCTGCGCGGCTCATTTCGGGTCCTGGAGGTAAGGCTATTTCTACTGAGAATTCTGCTCACATCACAATGTAGAGTACAAAGATGGTGCCTCCGGTACAAGATCAGAGACCCACAACAGAAGGTGCGTTTACACTTGCTGCTGTCTGACCCAGGCTGACGGCCCTGAAATGACAAGAAATGTTCCCTCACAGCGATTGGTGTCATTTGGGGATGTCTTTGTGAACTTCTCTGGGAGCAGTGGCGGGACCTGAATGATGCTTAAACGACCCTGTACCAGGATATGATGCTGGAGACCTGCAGTCACCTGGTGTCCCTAGGTGAGGAAAGTCCGATGTTATACTCGAGTGCAGCGCTGTTTTCTACACTGGTAAGTGTGCTCTTGCTTGTGAAATTGGGTGCTGGCAAGGTTGAACATTGCAGGCCAAGCAGCCTGTGGGTGTTCACCCTTTTCATGAAAGGTTCAGAATGACCTTCGCGCACAGCTCTTAACACTGCTCTTGTTTGTTTCATAGACTGAAGTTTGGCTTGATCGAAGACCATCACTGTTTTTCATCACAGGGCATTGTGTATTGATCCTCGGCTGGGAGCAGAGGACACAGCCATGGAATATGGAAGAACCCTCGAACCATAACCTCTCAGGTCAGTCAGTGCCCACCTGGCTGGGAGGAGGAGACACCAGCAGGTATTGACCACACTGAGCTGCTTTTCCAATATCCAAACCTTAGACATTTTGTCTGCATGTATCAAAGTAATTCATTATTCCTTTTCCAAATATTGCTCTCTTGTAGATTTAATACTATTCTTTCAATGGTTGTCAGTATTCTTAGATTTAACCAGTATGCAATCCCTGATACTACAGGAAATTATTCTGCATTAGTCACATTTTCTGTACTCTCTCTAGTAATTTATTCTCAGAGACTGTTTTCTTTAGGTTATTGTTCAGGCATTTGTTTATTCTTTCAGTATTTCATGGGGAGTTTTAGACAACGGTCAATTTTCTATGAGTGTGGATAGCAAATGTGGTCACAGCAATGGCCTTTACTTTATTGAAGTTATATTCTGTGTGAAAGGAGAATGTAACTAACACATATATCAAATAGAGAGGTCAATCCACAGAGAATGTTTGACCAGGATGAAGGAGAAAAAGCAGAGGATGTGATTTTAGAATGTGCTCCAGTGGAAGCATTATGGAGATGAAGTCTTTTCCTTGCAGAGCTCAGGTTTGAGATGAATGGTTTCACTGCTACGGCGTGTATATAGTTTTATTTATAGTCTGGGCTAGAGGTTGTGTATTGCTACTGAAGGTGTAATTTACCAACTGATTAACTCCAAAGTGATAGAATCAGAGGAGATTGATTGGAGAGTCATTTAGGACATGAATAGTGTTTTATGTTTAAGCCTTATGGCCCACCCCCACAAGAAATTGTGAGGCAGAGAAGGACCCAGAAAATCATTCATCATGGGAGGGGATGTTCCTGACATGGTGTGGAAATATGAGATGTAGTTTCTAAACTATGCAACCAAGAGATTCAGGTTAGGTGCTCATACCTTGGGAGAGGAGTGTGGACTGTATTACAGCTTCTTTTGTGGTTTTCATTGGAAAGAATATAAAAGAATCAGTGAACCCTTGGGATTGCAGCTTAAGCATGATATAGTCAAAACTATAATACTAGATAAAAATATGACATGTTATGAATCAAGTAGAAACACAGGTACCAAGTAGTGCAGAGAGAATACCAGGAGTGTTACTCTCTGAAGGATGTGAAAAAAGCTGTTTATGATGGTGAACACAGGCTGCGTGACCTTTTTCCTTTTGATCAACTGGATGAAGAGATGAGGCAAAGTTTGCCGTATCTGTTATGATTCTGAGAAACATGTGATATCATATTTAATTATTAGTTAAAGAGGGTCTCTTTGGTGGTGTAGGGATCAAGTCTTGCTGCTATCACTGCAACATCCTGAGTTCAAATCCCAGCCAGGGAGCTAACCTGGCACAGCAATCTCTCTTGTGTCCTCTACTCCCTTAGCACTGTATTTAAGTAATACCCATCCGTTCTTCTCCCCATTCTGTCTCTGGTGAATCCTCCACTCCCCCACACCTCTGACCAATACTTCAGATCTCTACCTGGAGTAATAGATAAATATTACTAAAACTTCAAAACATTAAAAAAATTGACAGAAAGGTCTCTTTCTTGACGTGGAGAAAAGTACATGCCTTTGAAAACACCCATATATGACTGTTGACTGTGTCAATGGAGAAATAAAAACAAAAGGAATGTAGGTGTAGAATCCTTGTCTGTAACAAGACTCTTTCTTAAAGTGACTGAAAAATGATCTTGCATTATTTCCAATCAGTAGGTTTTGTAGGAAAACCATAACATCTACAAAGCTTGAGATTTCAATAAATACCATCACAAGTTGCACAGAATTGTTGTAAGAAAGAAGGTATAGAGGCAAAATATTAGGTTAAATTCTTCTGGATGAATTTGATATTTACATTTAAATGAACATGTTTACCAAATATTTATGAATTGAAGAAAAAAACATGAAATAAATTTTACTACTTCCTTGTCAACCTGGTTTGGCATTAGAAAATCTGTTAATTTATACAATGGGGAAAATTCATACAATGGGGAAAGCCTATCAATGTCAGTGTAGGAAGGCTATCTTCCGCAAGTCAGGCCTCTACAAACATCAAATGGCACACACTGGAGAGAAACCCTATGAATGTTGAGAGTGTCAGAAAACTTTCCCTGGAAATGACAACTTAGTAACCATCAGAGAATTCATTCTGGAGAGAAACTGTATGAATGTCAACAGTGTAAGAAAACTTTCTCCTGGAAGTCAGGCCTCACTTCCTGTCAGAGAATTGACACTGGGGAGAAACCCTATGAATGTCAAGATGGTGGAAAAAATTTCTCCCATAAGTCATCCCTCACTTACCAGCACAGAATGCGCACTGGAGAGCAATCCTGTAAATGACACGACTGTAGTAAAACTTGCTTCTGGAAATCAGCCCTCACTGTACATCTGAGATGTTACACTACAGTAAACTCTATGAATTTCAAGAGTATAGGAAAACTTTCTCCTGAAATTGGACCTCACTGACCATCAGCGAATTCTCACAGGAGTGAAATCTTCTGACTCCAAGAGTGTAGGAAAACTATCTCAGAAATCAGTTCTGAGTGTACATCAGAGAATTCACTCTTGATCGCTTCTTTTTTATGTGTAGAATGTAGGGAAAGCTCAGTGTAGCCACTCTAGATAACTCACAGGAGAGCTATCTTAAGCACAGGCTTCTGTTTTAACCAAAGGGTAATTTATTCACAAAAGAACTATATATATTATATATAATATATATTACATATATATTGTCCATTATATATTATATGTAATATAATATTGTCCATATATTATTATATATTATCCATATTATATATTATATATATTGTCCATATATACATATATAGAGTATATATGATATATAGTTATATAGTTATAGTTAAATAACTATATATGATATATAGTTATATGATATATATGATATATAGTTATAACTATATATAACTATATATAACTATATATCACATATTATTGTATGTATACATATTTATGTGTATATATTTATATGTATATATATGTGTATATATACATCTTTTTTTTAAAAGATTTATTTATTTATTTGTTGTTTGTTTGTTTGTTTATTTATTTATACAAGCACTGGGTACAGTCAGAAGCGCGGGAGGGTGAGAGAATTCACCAGAGCCAGAGCGGGGAGCAGAGCAGGCAGAAGGACCGAAGTACACTGCTGAGGGGAGCAGCGGGCGGCAGGAGAGGTCTGCGCGCCATGTGGGACCCTCCTCCGGTGGCCGGGGAGCAGCCAGGGATCGAACCAGCGCCGCAGAGGCTGCGGGCAGCTTTGCAACCCAGCGCTCAACCGCTGCGCCACCGGGGAGGCCCTATATACATCTTTTTAATTAAAAATTTAACATTAACATATTGAAACACCATAAATCAAACCAAAATGAAATGAACCCCTCAGGTCAAATAAAGCATGATTTCATTAGTTATTTTTATTTTTTAAACACCAAATGCTTTTCATTTCTGTGCAGTACATTATCCCAGAAATTAATATTAATGTAATGATGTATAATAAGAACTCACTCTTCTATTACTAAAAGATATTTCGTGGTTCTTTATATGACATATAGACAGTTTTACCTGCTGCTTCCTTTCACTAGACTCCTCTCTCACTTGTCTTCTTGTTACAGGGCAGTGAGAGGGGCACCCCACACCCCACAAACCTGCCTGCTCTAAATAGTTTCTGCCATCCACCGCATCAACACAAAACATATGAGACTTTAATGGGAAGGAACTTTAATACAATTAGGAAACAACACAGGAAAGGCAAAGAATCTAGTTTCTAAATCAAGCACCCAAAGTGACCCGTCCCTTCGTGGGTAAATTCTGTCCACCCAGGCAGAATTGACCCAGAGCAAGGCCCCAAAGCCTGCCACAGGTCTAAAGCACCTTCCAGTGGGGACCCACAGAAAAGGGTCAGAAACAACCAGACAAGTCTGGAAGGAAAAGAGCAAAATCAAAATCGAGACAAAAACTGCCATTGTCACGTCCCCACGAGTCTCACCCACATCCGTTTCACCCAGTCATGACCAAAAGGCAAGTGCAGTTTTTTCTCGTGTCTCTCGGCTCCACGTACCTCCTCCAGGTCTCCTTCTGGCTCCATCTTGCTTCCTTCCTTCCTCAGTCTCTTCTGCAGCTTCTTCTCACCCTGCTCAGCTCCACCTTCCTTTTGGGTGGGGCAGGAAACCTGGAACCTCTCCCTTTCCTGGGGACCACCCTGTTACTAGAGGAGTTGGTGTTTGGCTGTCCTACATGGACTGAGGGGCTCAGGCCCAAGCTACTCTTTGGCAGGCCCTAAAACGTGGAGGAACTGCCTTCCAGTTGCCCTAGGCCCAACCGGGTGAATGCCTCTTGCCTCTCTCTTTGCCTCACTACCTTGCTAATCTATGTCAGTTGAGCCACCATTCCCTCTCTCTTGGGAAAAGAGCTGGCTCCTGAGTTCTGTTTTCAAACCAGGTCTCGCTCTTGCTGCAAAAAATAGTGGGTATTGGCCCGCCATGTAAGAGGCCACTTTACAGAAGACTCCCTTGAAAGGATAAGTTGGTGTGCACCCCGGATTATCTCTAGTCCCGCCAACTGCAAGACAAAGGGTGAAGCAACGCAGGAACTCATAATAAGCACCCACATGTCCCAACCCACAGCTCTCCACCTCTTAGGATTGTTGAAACGAGAGCTGGACCTGCTTTTTACAACCTCTCATCTACTACTGCTCTTTCCTAACTCGAAGCACAACCTCTCACTGCTTCCTTTTCATCACAGTCAGCTGCAAGTCCACAAACCCTAAGTAGCCAGTAACCCAGCCAGCCTTTTTCTTGCTCAAGTAGAGCTTCCCCTTGTGGAGCTCCCCCTCTCAGAGCTCCCCCTATCAGAGCTCCCCTCTCAGAGCTCCCCCTCTCTGAATCCTCGTCTTTTAAGTGCCTTCCTACGTCACGGTACTTTGATAGTCTCCTTCCCTTGCTATGGAGACCAGATTTTCTGTCCTTGGTTAAACATTCTTGTTCTGTTTGCCTTAATCTTAAGACTGTGCGGAACTAA